AACAGGAAGGGGAGTGTGTAGTGAGGAGTCGGGGGACTCACTATCATGGTGTGAACAGGAGGTATATGCACAGATCTGTGTGAAGAGCCTTCTATTTTCCCACAATTCCAATAGGTGAAATGTTTTTGCCCAAGTAGAGCTGAGTGCATGGGACAGGTGTTACAGCTTGGACTGTACATGAGAGCAAGCATGACTGCAGAGGTAATGATAGAATGCAGAATTCAGTGAGCCCACAGCAACTATCGAGATCCTGTCAGGACTTTCTTGGGGTGGAAGTTCTTCTGTGTGCTTTCTGGGCAGTTTCCAACAGAAAGCATCAGAGAGGTTGTCCTTGATCAATTAGTCAAACTGAGTTTGGGGATCCTGATTCCTCTTACCACTGTGTACATCCCAGCCAATCCTCTACAAAACCATTTTCCAGAACTAACACTTTGTTCTCCTGTATCCCTAGGTCCCTGATGACACCCTTGAAGATTCTCTCCATCACTGGATACCAAATTTCACAGTCAGACTTGGATTTCTTCCCTTGCTGTCAGAGCCTGTTTCAGCTAAAACATCTGGACTTGAGAGGTGTGGTCTTACAGGATTTTGACCTTATGCCTCTGAGAGGTCTCCTAGAGAAAGTGGCAGACACTCTTAAGACTCTGGATTTGCTGGGGTGTAGGATAGAGGACTCCCAAGTCAATGTCCTCCTACCTGCCCTCAGACAATGCTCTAGGCTCAGATATGTCAACTTCTACAACAATGACTTCTCCATGGCCATCCTGAAGGACCTTTTTCAGCACACAGTCAACTGGAGCAAGATGAAGGTGGAAAAATACCCTGCCCCTCTGGAGTGCTATGATGACTTGACTCATCTCTTCAAAGAACGATTTCCCCACCTTTGTCAGGATCTTGTGGATACACTCAGGGCAGTAAGGCAACCCAAGAACATCTCTTTTGCTACATTAATCTGCCATACATGTGACGAGCGTTGTGTCTATGATCAGGTATCCAGACTTTGTGGCTGCTGGGAGTAAATTGGGAAATATGACTTCTGGATTTGAATAAACAGTAGGTTTGGAACACCTCTGTTATCTGAGGGTCCTCACAGCCTGTGACTTCTGACACTGCTCAGAAGGTTGGAAACAAACAAAATAATGTAAAGCAACTTGAACCTTGGAGGTTGAGCTTGACAATGGGTACAGTTGGATGGACTGTGGGAACAGGGGCCTTGTGGAGTCAGAAAACTGTTTGGCATTTGTACCTGCCTTCACCACAGACTGACAAACCACATGCTTTCTTGGGTATTTCTAAGCCTGGATGTTTTCTCTCTGGGGGTCTTTGACTGTTACCAACCTCACTACCAGGTTCAGGTCAGGAAGTTTCAATAGTTTCAGTAATAGAAAGACACTGGTATTTCATGAGTGAAGCAAAAGTCTGGGTGAAATTTTCATGTATAAAGTGAAAGTTTTCTTGACACTTCTTTCTCTTGTCTTTTGTCTGGGCTACATGTACAACCCTCTTTGTGGCTGACTAGTTATGTGCACAAAACATTTGCACTGAAGTGAGCAACAAAGACATACCTCCTGTGAAGGAGGATTAAATTGATCACAGACTGTTGGATTGTATCATGTGCTGGTATGTGTCCTGTTGTGCTGAATTTTGGGTCCTGTATCTGCCACTGTAAGGGGATAGGGCCACAGCTCAGAGAGGCAGAGGTGTGGAAAATTGACTGTGATCACTTCATGCCTGTGCTTGGTGGGTGTTGGGTTGTAAGAAGCCACTGGACTCCACTCTGGGTTGGAAGAACACAGTCTGAGATCCCTTGGGGGCTGGAACTCTTGAGTTATGGGTCCCTGGGCCAAAAAGGGGCCAGGAACCTACTGGTTCTCAGGTCCTTGGGTTCTCAGGTGTCATTGAAAGGTCATGGAAGGGTTGAGATGGTGCATACAGGCTAGATCAACCCACAGACAAAAATGGTATGGAGAGAAGCACTGGCTGTGTTCTACAGGGATGAGAGTCTTGGTCAGCAACTCGATTGGCTGGCTTTCCATGGCTGGAACATAAGAGGTTGGTGGCAGGAGATTAGATGGCATTTCATTAGTTGAAGACCTTCTCCATATTTCCCCACAGCAGGCCCCCAAAAGAGAAATAGTTCATGGACATAGACTATCGTATTAAAATATTTAATTTCATGGTGGAAAATGGATCAAGCTATACTCTGTTATTCTTAGGGCAGGCCTGAGGTTAAATACCTTTGCAAAGAGGAGGGTCTGGGAAGGAATGCTTAATTGGCTATGCCCTCTGTCATTCAGGTATCTCATTAATATGGAGATCTGTCTTAGGGGCTCTGTGGCCTGTAGTCACGCCCTCTACCTGCAGAGGGGCTAGTAGGGGCATTGTCCTATGTGACCTATGGCCTCAGACCTCTCTGGAGGAGCTGTAGCTATGTGAAAGGAGCCAAGGGCCCAAGAGAAAGGCCAAACTCCTACCATCCCTTAGGGTCTCTGGGGATCAAATCCTTCTCAACCAGGTATCCAGCTGCATCTCATCGCCCACTGCCCCAAAACAAACAATTAATATCCAATACATTCAGACCACAAGGCACCTTGTTCTGAATCAGAAATGGCTAAAGGGAAGAAGACAATATAGTGCAAAGTAAATAGGCTTTCCACTCTGGCTTTGAACTCTTGGTATTTAAGTCATGCCTCAATGAGATGACTACTGGGAAACTCTATATCCATTCTTTATACCCCATGTTTCTAGAGCCTTATTCCTAATGTTTCCCAAACTTTATGAAGTACCCAGAGTGTATATAAAGGTGTCCAATAATAAGCAGGACCTTCTATTAGATAAAGCATTTACTTTACAAAAGAATTGTCCTTTAAATCTTCAATTGCAAAAAAAAAGAAAAGAAAAGAAAAAGAAAGTTAATCTGACACTGCCTAGTAAATATACTCTTGCTTGTAAACTATCAATAAAATAATTTATTTTAACTCTGTGTTTATTGAACATTTTGAGTTAAAGAACACTCAAGATTTCTTTGTTTACATATCATTTTTGTTGTCTGAATTAATTAAAGTATCTAAATTTAAGGACTCTGCAACAAATGCCATTTAGAGAGATATCAAAATGAATACATTGTTTCCAGAAATGTCACAATT